CGTCTAATACCCGGCTCCACTGAGAAGTTACAATACAGCAGTTTAACATACCACCAAAAACTAAATTCCCAAACAACTTAATTTTAGTTCCTAGGTTCATACTACCCAGGTTCCTTTTAAACACTAATGACTGAATTGCATAGCACTGACTAAATACACAGTTCACTGCAAAGTATAGTGCTTGTACATGTACTTTACAAGTAATCAGTGTTAAAGTAAGGCTTTTATCCTCTTTGGGTCATTTCTATTAACATTTTATTTTTAATATGTATATGTATGTAATATATATACATATATATAGACATAATATAATATATTAATATATAATATAATATATACACACACACATAAGTATGTTTCTCAGCTCTCCTCTTAAGTCTTTGGTCCCATTGTGGAAATCTAAAAGTGCCCAGGCCTCCTTAGCACATGCCAGTGACAGGTGACTGTGCAGAGAGAAGCTTGGGCTTTCCATCCATATGCTCATATGCTCATCTGGGAGTCAAGCCCACATAACCAGGGTGGACACTGAAAAGTCAAACACATTGTTCCTATCCTGATTTCTTTGGTAAACGAAGTGCCATAATTTCTGATGCTGCCTGGGTACTTTAACGGGCAGCTGAAACTGCTGGACAAGGTAGTAAACTGTTGGGTTTTCAAGGACTTCAGTGAAAACAAAATCAGTTGCTTTGTGTCATAACATTTTGGCTTAGTTCATAACTTTTGATATACAGTGCTTGTTGTCAAGGTGCTTAAAATTTGTATTTGGCTTTTAAAGTAACTTCCAATAACTTAATATTTATTTTAAATAATTAGTAGGACTGCTAACTTTTCAGTTGTATAGATAGTAAAATTTTCAGGCAACAATTTGTTTTTAAAAATGTTATATAGATTTTTGCTTTGCTGTGCATGGTATGAAATGTTGTAACAATATTCTGGTAAATATTTGATTCATTTGAACACTTTTAAAGGAATATTTTTAATCCATAGTTATATCCTGAATCACTGTCTTACAAATTAAAGGCCTTTCCCCAAGATGTATAACCCTGGAGAAGATCACTTAGTTTAAACCTGAATTTTTAAGAAAGAGTTGGATAGGAAAGAAACTTTGTCTGTCAAGGCATTTAATTCAAGTGGCACATTCAAGTTATAGTGAGTTAATGGAGGAATATAAATTTTTGTAACTATCCTATTATGTCTACTGCTTCCTTGCAGGACTTTCTTGTTTTAGGGATTTTTAAAAAATCTGTTCTGTGTCCCAATAAAAAGTAGCTCTCAAGAAAACAGATTACATTTCAGGGGGTATGCTTTGGAAACTATCTTCTTGTTGGCCCCTTAATAAACCTGTACACATTTCTATTTAAAAGGCATGTCCAACAGTTATCTGTTCAAATTAGAATGAAAGGACAGCCTATGAGATCACCTTTATCTTCATATGGTTGTTCTTGGTGGCCAACAAGCAGAGCACTCCAGACCACATAAAAGCAGTAAATCCTTCTTCCTGATGTCTTATTCCCCGTTTCTTGTAGAATGACTACTCCAGACCACTAGCAATTGCTTTTCTGTGTCCACCGGTCCACTGTGTAAAGGCAGCAAACAGGCTGATCCCCTAAAAGGAGGATCTGAGGAACATGTATGGGTTTCTTGATGCATGCCACTGCCCAAGAGATGACATGAGGTCCCATAGACTCACAAGAAGATAAGACTGCAAAAATGCAGGGAAGAGCCCTCTCCTTACTATGGAAACCTTTCCTCAGCCTCTGTGGGATCCTCTTTTGTCAGAACTCACATCACATCGATGAGAGTGATAACTTAGAGTGACTAACACCTTGAAAATATCAACTTTTCCCATTTTTAAGATGAGAGCATCAGTGACTTAAAACTTACCATTTCTATCTCTTATTTTGTCACCACTATTTAAAGTTGCTACAAAACATTAATATCTATGAAGAACATACATATTATATTACAGCATTTACCCTCTGACATATAAAGTTTTGTTTCTCAGTACTATATTTTAATTTAACCCCCCAATTTAGAAGTTTTAAATGTTTTAGTTAATATTTATCCATATTTACTGTGTTCTTTGCTCATGATTCTTTTCACTCTTTTTAAGTTGCTTATTCAGATTAATGGGCTTCATTTTGACAGAATCATGCAGGCAAGTAACATGTGTTTTGATCATTTTCATGCACCCCCATACCAACTTTTTTGTCCTGTCCTCCCTCCTGGTTTCACATTTTGGGGAGGATTTTAAATGGGTGTAATGCATTTTGGGCAAAATCATGTCACGTTACCAGTCTTTACAGTTTCTCTCTCTCCCCTTATTCCCTTCCTCGCATCTAATAATAGTCTTCTGTTTACTTTGTCATTTTTAGATTCCATGTATTAGGCAAAGCTCCCAATATTTGTGTATCTGAGTCTAGCTTATTCTAGCTTATTTCACTCAATATGGTAGTCTTCAAGTCCATACATTTTCTTGCAAATGACAGAATGTTATTGTTTGTGGCTGAATAATGCACACACACACACACACACACACACACACACACACACACACACACTTTATTTTTTGGTACCAGTGATCGAACTCAGGAGATCGAACTTAGGTCCTTGCGCTTGGGAGGCAGATGGCAGAACCACTGAGCTAAATCCCCGGCCCATATCATGTTTCTTTATTCATCTGTTTTTGGGTATCTAGGCTGGTTGCATGCCTTAGTTTGGGCCATAATAAACATATGTATGTATGTAACCCTATAGTATGTTTATACTAAGCAATGGTAATAGCTGGATCAAATAGTAGCTCTATTTTTAGGGTTTTAAAAATAACTTTCATACTGATTTTCATAGATTTCCATACTTACATTCTCACCAGTAGTATTTCTTAAGAATGCAAAAAAAAATGAACACCAGGCAGACAAATGACCCCACTGATTAATGGCCAAAAGCATTCAAAGACACTTCTCAAAAGAAGTTCAAATAGCTAATAAGTATATGAAAACATGTTCAAAGTTTGTCATCAGAGAAATGCAAATTTCACTTTAGTCAAGAACGACTGGCATCAAAGTTCCTTTTTTGTACTGAGGATACTGCTTTAAGCTTATTTTCCTTCTTTAAGTGCATACTTTAGAAGTAGCTCTGGGAGGAACTCTTAGTAAAAACACCAAATATTTTGCAGTATGTGAGAAAAAAGTTCTGAAATGATATACAATATTTGAAATGCAGTTTTGTAGTATGTTCAGTTCTACATAGGTAACTATGTTGTCTAGTGATTTGAAGACAGTCCACTCTTCTCAGTTTTCAAAACATCTGTTGTCAGCCTAGAATTCTACTGTATGTGATTTATATTTTCTCTGACTTTTCATTCACACACACACACACACACATACACACATTAATTTCACCCATTTCTATATATAACCCAATAAAATTTAGTAGTAAAAAATATACAGAAAATATTTTTAGGATATTTTCACCACCCTTGAAGGAAAATGTATGCTCATTTGCCACGTCTCCCCATTCTTGTATCTCGCCTAGGCAATTACAGTTTTATTTCTATTTTTACATATTTATCTTTTGGAAGATTTCATGTAAATGGAACCATACAATATGAGCTGTGTCTGACTTCTTTCACTTAGCATAATGTTTTTGAGTTTATCCACATGACAATTTATGTACTTTATATTCTCTTATTGACAACGTATTTTCCATGGATATATCACATTTTCTAACTCAATTGACTAGTTTTTGGACTTTTGAGCTATTTCTATTTTTGTCTCTTATGAATAACTCTGCTCTGAGTGTTTATGTCTTGATTTCTGTATGAACATATATTTTCATTTTTTTCCAACTACATATCTAGGAATCTAATTTTTGAGTTATATGGTACTCTTCATTTAAAAATCTCCCAAATTGTTTTCCAAACAATGTTGGAATTTTATATTCGCCAGGAATGCATGAGGAACCCCAACCTCTCTGCCAATTTTGGTCATTTTTCTTCTTGACTATAGAGAAGGCAGGAAGTGTTATCTCATTATGTTTTTATTTGCATTTACCTAAAGACTAATGATGTAGAGAATATTTTTATCTTTTCATTGGCTGTTTACATACACTCTCAGAAGAAATGTCAATTTAAATCCTTTGCCCATTTTAATTGAATAATTTGACTTTTTAGTGTTGAGATTCGATCTTTGTTTTAATTTTTTTAAATTTTACAGTAAAAGATACACTGCCATTAATCTCCTTCAAATACTCCCTTTGATTTAAACATTTTCATTCTTGCCACTTTCTGTAGCATCTCTGCAAGTCATCATTCTTGAATAATTTCTCTACGTCTGACAAAAAATATGGCAAATACTGCTATCTGTTGCCATCCAGTGGAAAGGCAGGATTGTAAAAAAAATTTACAGTGTGTAATCTACTTTATCCACTGGATCTGGCACCATGCTAATTCTTACTGTTACCTAAAGTTAACAAAAAAAGGTTAATGTTTTCAATTGATTTAGGACACTGAGGGAGCCATGCCAATATGATTAATGACACTTGGGAAAGAGAACTTCAAGAATTGCTTCAGGAAGTGGTAAGGAAGTCAGGCATGGTGGTATATACTTGTAGTCCCAGCACTCAGGAGGCGGAAGCAGGAGGACTGCTATGAGTTCAAGGCCAGCCTAGGCTACATAGTTAAGGCCAACCTGAACTATATAGGAAGACCCTATCTCCTAGGAGAGATTCAGGAGGCGGAAGCAGGAGGACTGCTATGAGTTCAAGGCCAGCCTAGGCTACATAGTTAAGGCCAACCTGAACTATATAGGAAGACCCTATCTCAACTAGGAGAGAGAGAGAGAGAGAAGAAAGAAAGCAAGAAAGCAAGAAAGCAGGAAAGAAGAAAAGACGAACAGAAAGTGGCAAAGGTGAGGTAAGTGTGCTCAAAGTGATAGGGAGTGTCTGAGTCACTTTTGCCATTTCTGGGACAAAATATACTACATCTGCAATTTATAGGGGATGTTTATTTTGGTTCACATTTTAGAAGTTTCATTCCATGTCCCGCAGGTTCAAACACAGGAATCACATGGTGGAAGGGTCTGGTGGAGGAAATCCGTTCACATCATAGTGGTCTGGAAGAAAAGAGAGAAGGAAGGAGCCAGCGGGGAGTAAACTCTTCCAGGTCATGCCCTGGTGACCCACTCCTCTAACTAGAATCCATTCCTAGTAGCAAGTCAGCTATCCCACCTCCATGAACCAATCACCTCCAAAAGGTCCCACATTTGAGTGCATGAGGTATTGGCGGACACCCCCGGTTTCAGTCATAACAGGGAATTATTTGAAGAGGATGAATGTCAATGTGTTTTCTCCTATCATCAAATTTTTTTTAAGTTTAAGCATTCATTGTGTTTTCAATCACATGTGAGTAAATGTCTCAGGCATAAAAGTCTACAAAATCTTCCTTGGAAATCAGTTGAAATAGGTTGAAGGGTATCAAAGTCTTCTACTAATGTTGATTCTTCCACTTCTATTAGGGTCTAAACCCATGAAGAAAATTTCTTATACTCTGTCTTTAACATGTACTTACAAAACAGTGATCTTTCAATATTTGTAGAAAAAAAAAGTCTTCTCTATTGACTTTAATAGTTTCTTTCCAAAGATTATATAGATATTCATCTAAACTTCCTTAGGGGAATGAATGTACATTTACTTGTGTGTGTCATACATGTAAGGTTTTAATTTTCTCAGAGCTCAACTTTTCTGTATGGTATGATAAAAGGGTACACTTTGATTTATTTTTCAGAACAATCCCCCCAGAACTAGTTTTGAATATTCTCTCTCTCTGTGGTTTATTTGAATAAAGGAACATCCCACCACAATAAGTGGGATGAAAACATGTGGTGAAAATCTAAATTTGTATTATTGTAAACTCAAAAAAGTCAAATGGCAGTCTGTAGTATCACAAAGGCATAATGGAAAGATTAGTGGAAACTAAAGGTTAGTGAAATATATGCCTTCTAGTAATTCCTTTATCCCATGGTTGATAGCTCCAAGACCCTTAACCAGCTAAGCATTACACTTTTCTACTGTAAATTTGTACTTTGGCATAATAGTAGCCAGGTTGGGGGGGTCTTAGTACCTTTCCCTGAAGGATGCAGGAAGCAATCTAAGCGTTTCCACTTGGTATGATGAACAGCAAGGTGTGTGCATGTGTGTAAAAATGCAAAATGGAAATTTTACCCACATTATGCTCTAACTGGTTTGGACTATGTTTACCCAAGCATCATTGAGGGGCCAATAGACCCAAACCACTCCAACATTTGTTAAAACAAAAGTTTTCTGTTTATTTTTTCTAGTAGAAGTAGCTCACTTCAGTACATGAAAAAACAGATTTGCAAGTTTTGGAGGTCAAAAGTGAATAATTGGATTACTCATGCCTGGATGATGAAGATGATCCATTGTCATAAAATACATATTTTTGTAACAGAAGAGTGGTGTAGGTGTATATGATGATGATGATGATGATGATGATGATGATGACAACATTGGCCATGTAAGTCAAAATTTCCTGTGACAGTAAAATGAAGCAAGAATTAACTGATACAGCCACAGGGAATGTAGACCTCCTTGATTCAGATAATGAAGGAAATAGCAATGTGAGTATATATTTGACTAGTTGAAATGTTGCAAAATGGCCATGCAACCAAATGGAATCATCCAATGTTAGAACAAGGTCCAAAACATATGGCGAGGGGCTTGGCAGGGGTGAAATGTACTGGACAGAATTCTAGCACTCTCATTCAGTATTGGAAATTATAGCAATAAAAAAGGGAAAAGAAAAAAATGTGAGAGAATGAAAAGATGAAACTAAGTGTTTGTAGATGGGAAGGGGAGGAGGGGGTAAAGGGAGGGAAGGGGTAAGAGGAAAAAATGAGAATCAAGACTTGTCATGTAGAGGTACAAAATCCCAACAATGAATGTAACTGTAGTGTATCCCTAAAATGTACCAATAAACTCAATTAAAGCTGAAAAAAAAAAGAAATTATAGCAGATGAAATGCTAAAATATGCTGTGAAAGAAGATGAACCTTTGAGTTACAACCAGCCTCACATACGATCAACTTGGGTTGTGACCAGAATTTTAGTGTTAATTTACCACCAAATTCTTGAGTTATGACTTGAATGACAGCCACTTGTGCTTCCAAATGGGTGCAAATATACCAACCCTTGGGAACAAATTGCATTCATAAGTCAAGGATCCACTGCAAAGAAATGCTGAAATGCAAGTAAAGCATTCTGCATGTCCTAATAGCCATATTGAAAAATGTATCTGTTATTACTCCCTCACTAGCTGAGCTAGAAGCATTCATAGGTCTGAAATACTTGGCAGACATTTCTCATGGTAGCTATAGGAATGTAAAAGACTTATGGAAAAGTGGGGTCAAAATATGGCATAAAAATTTATGACCTTGTAGATGTAAAGTCTACTTATGCTTTCATTTTAGACATTTATTCTGGAACTCAGCCACCAGGTCCTTATTTGTAAAGTAATAAACCCAGTGATGCTGTGAACAGACTTCTCGCTTTCATCTCCCAAACTAATCAGAATGTAACATTTTAAAATCGGTTTACCAGTTTCCAACTGATGTTACATTTGCTAACAGAGCACAAGTTGGCCAGCTCAGGGGACTGTATACAGAAACAAGCAGAAATTCCAAATAAAATATTGAAATTTCAAAACAAAATTGTATATAATCTTTGGATTTCAAAAAGCTTTACATTGGCCTCATATATAGCTAATGTACTGCTAATGTCAACAGTGCATCATGTTGGAAATATTGATAGGGAAACCTCAACAAATCAGAAGCCTGAGATGGAAACTTCCTACAACAAAACCAAAGGTGGACTAGATGTTGTTGATGAGGAATGTAGCAACTATGATGTTAATCAAAACACAAAGCATTGGCCAATGGTTGTGTTTTACTCAGTTCTAAATATGTGTGGCATAAGCAGGTTACAAAGAAAATAGCAAGTGCAAAATATGCAGAGACATTTTCTTAGAGGATTGGGACTGGAATTCACAAGAGATCATTTACAGCAGTGAAAAAAACAAAATGTTCTTGCCCAGGGAACTACAGAAAAAAATTGTGGGGCACCCTGGTGTGCTGATAGATCAGTAGACGGGACAGCATTACAGAGACCTACTGTAACAGCAGGAAAACCAAAAAGATGTCAAGTGTGCCCTAAAGGAAGGATAGAAAAACAAAGCATGTAAGTGATACTTGTGTATGGAACGTGCAGTTGTGTGTGAGGACTGCTTTGGGTGTGACAGTTGAAGCAAACAGCCTCTGTGGTAGACTTGTTTGTGTTTACATTGTAGTTCACATAATTTTTATTTCCGATGTTATCTTTTAGGTAAACAGCTGATGTGAAAATGTTGAAGTGTATTGTAAGCACTCACTACATACTTGATACTTTGTTTTATTGACGTTTTATTTCCATGCTAAGTGTATGCTGTACAATAGAGTAGGAAGCTTCTGAACAAGCAGGAAGAGAGTGACAAGAATGGCCTGCCACATAGGGAAGGAAAGCTGAGCACATGTGCACTCACTGTAAGACAGATGTGTTTGTGGAATGTGCAGTGGTCATGTGTGAAGACTGCCTTGGGTGTGAAAATTGAAGCAAAACTTATTTTTTTTACAGAGTTCTATTGGTACTTTCATTGTAGTTCCGAAAGGGATTTATTTCTGATGTTATATTTTAGGTTTTATATGCAAGTACGCAGCTGATGTGAAAATGTTGAGGTCTATGCTAAATACATATTAAGAATTTAATACATTATTTTATTGATATTTTATGTTGCTGTTAACTGTACACCGTAATATAATAAAAACCTCCTGACAAAACAGCAAGGCAAGTAAAATGTCAAGTGTGTCCTACAAAAAGGCCAGGAAATCAAAACTCACGTGCTGTCAGTGTAAGCAATACATGTGTATGGAACATGTTGTTGTCATGTGTGCAGACTGACTTAGGCATGATAATTGAAGTATTATTTTTCTGT